ATTAATTTTTATTTTTAATAATAATGATAATAATAATTAAATTTTTTTTTTTAAATTAATTACTAATTTAATAAAATTTAATGGAACCATTGCAAAAATTTCTTTTAAAAAAAAAAAAAAAAACAAATAAGAAGAAGAAGAACTTATTCAATAATTTAATTTAATTTAACGAAAATTTTTATGCTTTTTCCAATATTTGATTGATTGATTGATTGATTATTTTTAGTTTACAGGTTTAGTTATTAAAAATAAAAAACTAATTTTTTTTTAAATTGAAAACTAAATATATATATATTTACAAGCATAAATTATTTAATATTATTATTAATAGTATGAATTATTTAAAATATTTTATTTAACAAAAGAATAATTATAATTTCCTCAGCTAAGATTATTATATTTTTAGTTTTGAGATATTTGAGATTTTTTAATTGTAAGAAAAAACATAATAATAATAAGTCTTTTTACAAAAAAAAAAAAAAAAAATTGTTTTTAAATTAAAATATAAATAACATGCCTGCTAATTTTGTTTTTTTTTTTTTTTTTTTTTTTTTTTTTTTTTTTTTAGGCATTTTTGGCAAATGGGACTTCATCACCTTTGCAAATGGGAGTCGATACAATGCCAACGGATATGAGTGATAATTCAAGCGAGTCTGATATCAATCCAACGATTGGAGGTTGAAAAACACGAATACCTTATTCTTTTTTTTTTTTTTTGTTATCCATGACGAAATAAAATTTATTATTAATTTTTTGTTTTTTTTTTTTTTTTAGAAAAAATTATGACATCTTGTTCTTCGAGTCACGAAGGACGTCATGCCATAAGTATAATCTTGCCGATAAACGTTGATCAATTATTTACTCTAATGTTTACAAATTCAAAATTTTTCTTTGAATTTCACACGATGAGGCAATCGACGGATATAAATGCATCATCTTGGCAACAAAGTTCGGATTCGGGTGAAAAAATCAGAACGATTTCCATGGTCGTAACTGTGGGTCAAGCTTTAGCACCCAAATCTGCTAACGTTCAACAAACTCAGGTTCACACAATTAACTTGACTTGAATTTACTTTAACATTATTGGAAACGAATGATGATGATGATGATGACTTTCTTTTCTTTTAGGTCATGTTACCCTGCAGTGTATCCGGTCAATTATATTCAATCGATGACGAAATTGTAAATAATGGCATTCCCTACGCTGATTCATTTTACATATTGATGCATTATTGCCTTGAAAAAGTTAGCGAAAAGGAAACAAGTTTAAATATATACGGTCAACTTAAATACAAAAAATCAATATGGGCATTTGTTAAAAGTTTGTATAAAGAAAAACATGTAATTATTATTATTATTATTATTATTACCATCACGCGATTTGTAATTTATCATATTGTTTTAGATATTATTGAGAAAACAACGTGGAATAGTTTAAAGGATCACAATGAAGCTTTAGTCAAAGCTCTGCTGGCAGAGTGCGAAGGTGGTGATAAATCGAAAGGAAGAAAAGTCAGGAGACGGCATCGTGCAATATCAAATAATCCCGTACGTTTACCCGTGGATCATTTACCATCGTCAACGAGGAGTCCAACATTTAACAAAGGTTTGTCTTTTTTTTTACGGGAAAGACGGAGAAAAAATAATAATAATAAACTTTTTTTTTTTTTTTTAGGAACGCGGAAAAAAGAAGAGGGAAGAGGGAATTTAGTTTTAGGTATAATAATAGCAATCGTAATTATCCTCGTCGTTTTGAACGGTCTTTTGTATTATAAACTTTGGCTCCTGGAAGATTTCACTCAAATATCGAAACACAATTATTGGCACATCGATATGGAGTTGCTCAAAGAGCAACAACCCAAAAACAGCGATCAATGGTTGGAAGTGTTGCGAATACAAGAAAACATAAGAAAATTAGAAATAGACAAATGGCAAAAAGTGATACACTCGACGGTGGGATTGTTGAAAAAAGCCGAAGAATCACTTTACGAATTGCAAAAAGCTATCAAATTGCCCAATGACGAATTCGTAAATAAGGAAGAATTATAATGAGAGAGAGAGAGAGAGAGAGAAAGAAAATTTAAATTTGGCTAATTTATTTCTAGTCTATTCTAACGAGAATCGGTTGAAAAAAAAAAAAAAAAAAAAAATTTTCATTCAACCCTGGGGGGGGTAAAAAAAAAAAAAAATTAAAAAAATTTATTTATTTATTATTATTATCATTATTATTATTATTTTTTTTAAAGAATAAGAAGAAGAAGGAGTAAGTTAACCAAAAAAAATCAGAGCTTCAAGTAGATGTTATAAACAAAAGAAAAATTATTTTTGATGATTTCAAAAAAAGTTGAAAAAAATATTTTTTTACCATTGAAAATACCTTTTTTTTTGTTTTCCTTTGCGGTTTAAATTTTTTTTTTTAACGTGAAATTTTCTCTTCCAAGGTAAACGAAAGTGTTCATTGAATTACGTTTTTTTAGCAAGTTTGCTAAAAAAAAATCAACGGAGTAGTTTAAATAATAATAATAATAATAAATTGGATTGAATTAATAAAAAGTTACGAATTAGTAGCTAAAACGTTCCTCCTTTAGAAATATTTTTTATGTATAAAAAAATACGTCGAAAAAAATTATTATTATTGTTATTATTTAAAAAAAAATTGTTACGAGTTTTCCGGAATTTTTTTTTTTTTTGTTTAAAGTTTCATCGAATTGTTTATAACAAAATGATTGAATTTGATTGAACGCACAAATTTTCGATGAAAATTTTTTTTGTTTAAGGTGGGAGGGATCTTATTCCGAAACTGGAATGTGTTCCCCGCCCCCCGCCCCGCCCCCTTTTGCGTTTCATAACGCAATAATTTATAATTGTTAAATTGTTTTATGGCTTTTATTATTATTATTATTATTATTTATTTATTTATTTTATTTTATTATTTTTTTTTTGTTTGTTTTCATTCCTTTTTTGTTTTTTGTATATTTGATAAATCATTATTGAATGTATTATTATTATTATTGTTATTAATCATCGTGATCATCATCATTATCATCATCATTTTTCAGGTTTCATTTTAGGTTTGTATCCGATCCGTTAAAAAAAAAAAAAAAACGGATGTGTTGAATCTCCATGGTGCTTTTAATAAAAAAAAAAAAATTTTTTTTTTTTCGTTAATAAAAAGTCGGAAAATTAAAATCCGAAATTTTTATATAAATTAAATTATATCCCAATATCCTTTCAAAATATCCGGGATGATGAAAAAATTATTATTATTATTATTTTTTACTTCCCGAATTTTAAAAAAAAAAATCTTGGAATTAATTTTTATGCAATTAATACTATTTATGGAAATTTTTTTTTTTTTTTTTGAAGTATATTAATTTTTATCATTATTATTATTACCATTATTAATTAATGTAAAAAAAAAAAAACCTTCTTCTAGTTATTATTATTATTATTTGAAATTTTTTATATTAAATTGTGATATTTAAATTAAAAAAATTATAGTTTAGAGTTAAATTTATATTCAGCTTTTGCTGATTTGTAATTATTATTTTTTTTTTTTCGAAAAATTTTGTCCTTTAAAATTTTTTTTATAGGGAATACATAAACCGAATAATTATTTATCATTATTATTATTATTATTTATCATCCCAATGTTCATTAATAAAAAAAAAAAATCGTTTTCCCGCCATTGAGAAAAAAATGACTATTTAAATTAATTCCTTTTAAAAGAAAAGCAGCAAAAATAAAATTTTATGTACTCCGAATCGGTTGCATAAATAATTAATTAATATTTATTTATTAATAATTAATTTTTTGGAAAGTTTATTAATTATTTCGTACCGGAAATGATAAAATAAAAAAATAAAATAAATATTTATGTATTTTTGTTTTTATTCGTGTAAATGTATTAAATTACCATTTGTATGTATTATTTATAGATAGAATTATATAAATAAATTAATAAATGTTAATAAAATTATTATTATTATTATTATTATTAGTATTATTAAATGTTATTATTTATATTATTATACTGAATGATAATAAAAGTGAACGATTAAATATATATATATATATATATATATATGGTAAGTAAAATAATAATAATAATTTTTTTTTTATGCTGCTTTTATTTATAGTCTAATTTTTGTTTAAATTTATTTTCAGGTATGGTTCAAAAAAAAAAAAAAAGAAAAATCAATACGTCAATTATATTAAAAGTTTTTTATTGACTTTAAATTGAATAAAAATCATCATCATCATCATTTTTCTTCGGGTTTATTAAATACAAGAGTGTATCCGCATTTTCCACAATAATGTCTATCTTCCATGGCGGCCATAAACACTCCTGCTCCGCATTGTTCAGACGTACATTCCCGTCTCAACCTGTGAATTTTCCCGTTTTCATCGACCTGAAAAGAAAAAAAGGTAATGTATCATTTTTTCTTCTTTTAATAAAAATAATTTGATGGATTTAAATTAAAATTCAACATGAAGGTTTTGTATACTTACTTTGTAATATTTCAAAACTGCTAACTTAACCTTCTTCTTCTTGTGTTTAATTTTTTTTGGAGTCGAATAATTCTTCTTCTTACGCTTTTTGGCACCTCCTCGTAAGCGAAGAACAAGGTGGAGTGTCGATTCCTTTTGTATGTTGTAATCAGAAAGGGTTCGGGCATCTTCCAATTGCTTTCCAGCAAAAATCAATCTTTGCTGGTCGGGAGGAATTCCTAAATAAAATTCAAAAAATTTTTTTTTACGGAAAGGGGTAAAAAATTTAAGGGAAGAACGACCGATTTTTTGTAGTTTAGTGAAAGCGTAATCTATGTTATACTAAGGTCTAGTTGGGCAATTGTCTTTTAATTTAATATGTAAATTTCGATTTGTGGAATTTAAATACTAAGAATTTTATTATGAAAATTTTGGTCTAGGAAAAATCCAAAGACTCGAGTAAATTTTTTTATACCTTCCTTGTCTTGGATCTTTGCCTTGACATTTTCAATTGTGTCAGAAGCCTCAACCTCAAGGGTTATGGTTTTTCCTGTTAATGTCTTCACGAAGATCTGCATGTTAACTTGTTATCTATGAAAAAGATAAAATAAAACCTACATTATTAACAACTTCTAAAATTAACTTTTTTTTAAATGGGAATCATGAAACATCTTTTTTTTTAAATTTGATAAAATATATTTAAGAAGGATATTAGTCTTAATAAAAACCATTATCATTTCAAAATTTATTTATTTTAATCGTTATTTAAACTAATAAAACAGCATTGATGCAACCATCATTTTCAGGATTATTTGTAACTTGTGCATATTTTCCCCATACAACTTTTCCAGATTGAGTGACCAAACCAAGCTCACTGATGTTTACTTCTATAACTGTACCCTTGGTTATGACACCTAGTGATGTGTACATGGCAGAGCTTGGATTTTTCTTAACACCAATTATTGGTAAATGAAATGTTGCTTTTAATTCAGGATGAGTTACATGTGCCTTTTTAAACCTCAGAGCCATAGGTCTAATAAATCTTTCAAATTTTGGAGGTTTTCTGGTAAAGTTTTCACCAACATAGGTAACTTTGGTTACCATTCTTTTCCAAGCTTTCCTCCGAGACTTTCCTGATCTTAAAACTTTAAATACTTCAGAATCTGCCTGTGCTTTAACTTTGGGAATCGGTACATCCCATTTTCCTGCTTTCTCTTTTCGTTTTTGTTTTATCATATTTGATAACACTTTTGATCTCATTTGAATATTACGATCCAATAAATATGGTGGCAGAGCCCCTTCTTTTGGCTTCTCTGTGTTCTTCTTCGTGAGTTTTTCCTCATGCATTCTAATTTTCTTCTTCATTTGAATCTTTTCATTTCGACGTTGCTTATTATATATTTTGGCTTTCAATTTTCTTAACGTTCTGGCTCTTTCGGCACGTTTATGAGGTTCACGAGCTTCTTTTTTTCTTTTTCTTTCATGATAATCCAATCTACGTCCGTGTAATTTAATGTGTTTCTCTATATACTCGTTTTGAGGCATTTTGATGAATTCTTTAAAGTCTGTGGAAAATTTTTTATAATTTTTGGGTAAACAAGCAGTGAAGGAATGAATATCAACTAAAATCTATTTCAATTTTGATTTACATCAAAAAATGATTCTTTTAATTAATTTTTCCACATGGCACATGCCTCGTATAATAATTTTAATCACTAAGTAACAACTTTACTAAATTATTGTTGCTTTATAGTACATTAATCTTTTTAAACTATTTAAATAAAATATTACAAGAGCGAGGGAACAAAAGTTAATAAGAAAATTTAATAAAATCTTACCTTATTTAACATCAATCAAGAAGCTACCATTCACAGCATTTTACATAGAATTAAGATGGCGGCAGGAAATACGTCACATTTATTTTGAAATTTAAATTTAAGTTGGTAGTATTGAAAGTCAGTGTATGCAATCTTAAAGTCAGTGTATGTAATCTTAAAGTCAGTGTAACTTCGAAATTGTAAAGTTTTCGTAAAAATTACGAATTAATGGATATAATTTGGCAATTTTTATTTTTATTTTTGCTAACACTTTTTGGATATGAAAACAAAATCAACGATTCATCTCGATCGTTATAAAAGTTTTTTCTTCCTTCTTTTTTTTATAATTGTATTTTCGTTGTCATTACTAACTATATTTCATTTTTTGCCACTAAAAGTTTCCCAAGTCAGGAAAAATGAGCCAGTAATTTTATACACCGATTGGAAAGACCTACCAGTTCTTGCACTTAAAAAAACTTCACCTATTGGTGAACCTAGAAATCCAAAATGTACTCATTACGATTGTTTCAACATATATCGTTGTGGTCAAAGAGATCACATTATTCAGGTTTATGTCTACCCTTTAAAAACCTACATAAATGAAAAAGCAGAGCATGTAGTGCCTCAGATGTCCTTGGAATACTACAAAATTTTAAAGGCTATAATTAATAGTAAATATTATTCACCAAATCCAGATGAAGCTTGCATACTAGTCCCTTCAATTGATACTTTGAATCAAAACAAGCTTAAATTAAAAGAAGTTTCACAGGTTTTAGCATCACTTCCTCAGTTAGTTTCTTTTTTTTTTTTTTTAAGTTTTCAACAAATTGTTAAAAATACTAAATATATTGCAGTTGGAGAAATGGAGAAAATCATTTGATATGGAACTTTATTCCTGGAACATCTCCTGATTACAGTACAGTGGTAGAATTAAATGTTGGCAAAAGCATAATTGCTGGAGCAGGTTTTTCATCTTGGTCATTTAGATATGGTTTTGATATATCACTACCCTTATTCAGTCCTTATGCTAAATCTATAAAAACATTAAATAAATCTCAAGAAAAAAAATGGTTTGTCATTAATTCTCAAGCTAATTTACATTCTGATTATGAAAGAGAACTCGGAGCTTTATCTGGGGTTGTTAAACTTGAATTATGCGAAAATGGAGATCCAAGATTCAGATGTCACCAAGGAATAGCATATAATTATCCATCAGTTCTTCAGGTTAGTGACATAATTATTTCTTATAATTTATAAGGTAAAATTTTTTTTTTTTTTTGTAAAATAATTAATTTTTTTTTAATTTCGACTTGTAACTTTGATTTTAATAATAGCATGCAACTTTTTGCATTATAATTAGAGGAGCAAGATTAGCTCAGCAAGCACTTTTAGAATCTTTGAGTGCTGGTTGCATTCCAGTCATAGCTGCTGACCTCATGGTATTACCCTTTCAAGATGTGATTGATTGGAAAAGGTTAGGTTTTTACTTAGTAAATATAGTGATTGCGAAAGTAAAAAAATTTTTTTTTTTTTGTAAAATAATAATTTTTTTTAGAGCCAGTATAACAATCTTGGAAAGTGATTTGTCTTCTCTAATTGAAAAACTTTCTAGTGTTTCCGATGATAAAAAACTTGAACTTCAACAACAAGGAACTTGGTTGTATCAAAGATATTTTGAATCCATTGAAAAAATTACTTTGACTACTTTAGACATAATAAATCAAAGAGTTTATCCTCAAAATTCACTTCATTATGAAGATTGGAATATTCCAAAACAAATGGTAATAATAAAAATTTAATGGAGTGTTTAAAATTAAATCTTACACACTTTTTCAAAAATCTTTTTGCTACATTAATATTTCAGTGCATTTAGTTTACTTAAAATTTACAATTAAAATAATCAAATTAATAAAATTTGTTTTACTTTCAGCTTAGTTCGAAAAATCCTTTGAAATTGGAACTTACTGCTCCTAGAGCTCCTGGATTTACTGCAGTCATATTAACTTATGACAGAGTTGAAAGTTTATTTTTACTCATACAACAGCTGTCTAAAGTTCCGAGTCTTAGTAAAATTTTAGTTATTTGGAATAACCAAAAAAAAGAGCCACCAGCTTGTTAGTTTATTTAAATTACATACATCAGATACAGGTATTTATATAAATATAGGTATAAACATATTATAATTAAATTTTTAGCATCTCTTTGGCCAAAATTGATAATACCAATGGAATTAATAAGAACAAAAGAAAATAAATTGTCCAATCGTTTTTATCCGTATGACCAAATAGAAACGGAAGCTGTTTTGAGTATAGATGATGATATTGTTATGCTTACACCTGATGAATTGGAATTTGGATATGAAGTTTGGAGAGAGTTTCCTGATCGAATTGTAGGTTTTCCATCTAGAACTCATGTGTGGGATAATAATACAGGACAATGGAAGTATGAATCCGAATGGACGAATAAAATATCAATGGTTTTAACCGGTGCAGCTTTTCATCATAAAGTAATATTTTGTTTTGTTAAAGAAATTAGTATTTGAAATTGTTACCCTAATCATCGAATGATTGATTGTTTTTTTTTATTAATTTGCAAAAGACTCTTTATTTATTTAAAATAATTTATTGTATAGTATTGGAATTATTTATACACGACCGCCATGCCAGGTGACATTAAGCAATGGGTAGACAATCACATGAATTGTGAAGATATTGCAATGAATTTTTTAGTTGCCAACATCACTAGAAAATCTCCAATAAAGGTAAGTTTTATTTCAAAAAATTTTTTCTTTTTTTTTTTTCCATTTAACAAATAAATAATATGAAATAATTTAAAGGTGACTCCGAGGAAAAAATTTAAATGTCCCGAATGTACTAATACAGAAATGTTGTCAGCTGATTTAACTCATATGGTAGAAAGGTCACATTGCATAAATAAATTTGCTGCAATTTATGGAAACATGCCTTTAGTTGATGTTGAATTTCGAGCTGATCCTGTTTTGTTTAAGGATAGCTTTCCGGAAAAACTCAAAAGATACAAAGATATTGGAAGTTTGTGAGTTATTTTATTTATTATTTTAATTTATTTTATAAAATTTTTATTAATTAAATCACAGTGTAAAACCAAAGTAGTAACTAATGAAAAATTAAATTAAAAAGTAATTTTTTTTTTTTTTTTTATTAAATCTTTTTCGAAATATATACTTTTAAATAAAAAAAAATTTTTTTTTATCAATAATTAAATTTTTTAACATTTCGAAGAATCTATAATTTTTTTTTTTTTTTTACCAAAATGAAAATTAAAAGGTATAAATTTAAAATAAAATTGTTTAGAAATAATTTTTAAATTAAATTAACTCTTATATTATATAATTTGAGTACAATAGAATTTCAATTATTATTATTATTAATATAAATTTAATAGTTATTACTGCCTAATTAAAGTTTAACTAATTAAAATATTAATAGTTAGGGTTACATGAAGATAATAAAAGGGGCTTTACAATGTCTTAGTAAGAATGCTACATAAAAAAAATTTTTTTTTTACAAGTTTTTTTTTCTTATCCTTTTTATTTTATATATATATATATATATTTTTTTTTTTTAACATTAACTTATCACAATTATTCACAATATTTATTTATCCCTAAATTATTAATATATATATATATATTTCATTAGTTTTTATACCTAAAGTTTTTTAATCGTGTCTTTTAAGAGAAATAAATTCATTATTAAATGTTATACTTTTTTTTTTAAATACAGCTTATTAATACATAGTTTTTTATATTTGTAAATAATTAAAAAAATATAAGTTTGTCGTCGACAAAAAGAATATTTATCAAACTGAACCATTCAATTTTTAAGAAAAATTAACGTTAAAATTACATATAATTAAAATGTATTTACTTATTTTTTTTTTTTTTCAATTTTACAATCATGGCAACAAAATGGATAATTTGTTAACGTAAAACTGTAAACATGTCCATTAATTCTTAAAAATATTATACATAGATATTTAAACTAATGAAACTTTTTAAAAATTTGAACCATTCGTAAAAGGCAGTGGTAGGTGTGAAAATTACTTAATTAGGAAAGTATGCCGGGGGTTGTCTAGGATAATAAGCAGGAGGAGGAGGAGGAGGCTGATTTGTGGATGGTGGAGGGTAAGAAGGGGGAGGATATGCAGCTGGAAATGCAGTTACTGGGGGCGGAGGAGGAGCAGTAACTGCATTCGGCACTGGCCCTGGCGGTCCACCTGTAGTAAAAGGTGGATAAACTGAAGCAGGTGGAGGTGGAGGTGGTGGTGGTGCATTGTTGAAAGTAGTTTGGTATGAATAATGTTGAGAACTGCTGCTATTTTCATTGATGATTAATGGTTTTTCTTGAATAGGCAATTTGGTATCATTCAATGGTTTAGCACCTTTACCTAGTGTAAAAAAGTTTTTCCAAAAAAAATAAGGTACAAATAACATCAATACTTTAATAACTTGTTAAAAATAAAATTTAAATACAAAATTTAAATTTCTATTGGTAGTATATTTAACATACCCAAGGGAGATGGAGTCAGTTGAGAAATGCTTGGTGAAACTACAGTTGGTATGGGTAGCACTCTTTCCTTTTTAAGTGCTGTTGTACGAACCAACGGAGGAGAATCTGGAGCCGCAGTTTGCTCTGGAGCTGAATATAGATCTAATACCTGATGGCAAATATCTTCCAACAAGTTCATTGTAACATCTTCAACAAACATATCCCACCAAAACAAATGTTTCGGAGTTCTTCCTACCCAGTCTACAACTTCAAATTTACTTAGTTTTCCAGCCAAATACATAAGTGCCACAGCAATGACTTCAGGTTCCCATTGAAGACTTAATGTAGTACATAAACTATCATTTACAAAAGTCCAAGCCATCTGAACCATTTTTTGAAGTTTTGTTTTATCCCCTAAAATAAAAAATAACTTCAATAAATATTAAATAATAATGGTTGACCCCTTGATGCGCCATTCTTAACATAAAATGAAATTTCAAAATAATTTAAATCGTGCTGAGTAATTTGATGATATCATGTATTATTAAAATTAAAGGAGATTGCACCTTCTGTCAAATCTGTTTTAATTGAAATTTGCTAGATTAATGTAAAGCGAGTAAGCATATGCCTGGAAAGCTCTACCTTTAACACGAAATTTTCATAGTTAAATTTTAGGTGATAAATCATGATGACTTTAAAATTAAATTGCTAATCAGATAAGTTATTATAGGTTTAAAAAAATCAAAAGTTACAAATTACCTTTAAGGCACTTTGCATACTTCAAAAGAAATTGATATGGATGTTCAACTTGGAGGTCAAATTTTATAGTTTGCAATAAAATTCTTTCTAATGTCATAACTTCTTCTTTGGGATCATCACCAAATTGTTGAAACTTAGCATCCGTCAGTAAACTTCTTGCTATTTTAATAATATCTTTACATTTTTTTGGAGTTTCTTCAACTTTACCAGCTAAGAAAAGGCAACAACAGGCAGTAACATACCTTGGAAAATTTCTGCAAAACCCAACATAAAACAATTACATATTTAACATTTATAATTTTTTTTTTTTTTTAGAAAAAAACATTTTTAACCATTCTTTAAAATAAATTTAAAAGACGTACTTAAAAGAATGAAACATATAAAAACGATGAAAATAGACAACTCCAGTTGCCATAGTATTATATCCTAAATCCATTTTGGTGCCTGTTCTGATAATAAATCTCGCACCTTCTTTTCTATACCGACACTCAGTTTCATAATCAATATCATCTTGAATTGATGGAGTATTCCTTAATTCTTTTTTATCATAATACCAACAAGGCATGTTAAAAAAACATTATTGTACAGCATTTACAAGTAAAAAATTAGCCTTTTCAAAACTAATGACACGTTAATTGTAAACAATTCAAAAATTTTTTTTTATAACAAGCTGTGAATTTAATATAAAATAGATTTATATTTATGTATTTTTTTTAAAATGCAATTAAATCAACGTTATTTAATCAGTATAAGTTCTCGATTAATAGATAAATTTCTTTATTCAACTTCAGGTAAGATTATTATATCAATTAAATGTCAAATAATGTACCGAATTACTAATTTTTTTTATTTATATATTTTAGCTATAAAGAAACCCTTCAGCACTGTGCCGAATGAAACGGTCGTGAAGGAAAATGAACAGAAATCATTGCCCGAATTTGAAAATTTTAGACACGTTTACCAAGACTTTTTGCCATCTCCAATTGTAAAATTTAGAAATCCCATCAGAGAAAAATTAGAAAGAAGAGATATGATTCGACGGAGGAGTGCAATAAACATACCAGAATTTTACGTAGGCACGATAATGGCCGTTACTTCTTCAAATGAACATGCAAGTGAAAAATTGACAAAATTTGTCGGGATATGTATTTGGAAATATTTTCAAGGATTAAGATCTAAATTCATACTTAGAAACATTGTTGAAAATACTGGAGTTGAAGTTTTATATTCTCTCTACAGTCCACTAATACAAAAAATTGAAGTTTTAAAATTGGAAAAAAGACTCGATGAAGAATTATTTTATTTGAGAGATGCTCCCAATGAATACAGTGAAATCCCTTTTGATTTTCAACCCGTTTATAGAGATGAAACATTACCAGTTCCCATCAACACAACAAAGGTATAATTTATTCACATTTATGATATAAATAAATGAAAATAAATTTGTAAGATTTATATAAAATGTATTTTGGTTAGGTTAAAATAAATCCTAGGCCTTGGCTTCAGAGGTACGAAAGAATGAATTTGAAAGGAGTAGAATTGCCCGAGCTTCCAGAAAAATTTTATATCAGAGCTAAGGAAGTAGCTGAACCATGGAAAGAATATGATTTAATGGATGAATATAGGAAAACAACACCTGAAGAAGAACAAAAAGATATATTTTTAGAAGTTTGCGAAAGTTTAAAAACACTATCATCGAAACAAAAAATTGAAAAAAGGAAGAAAACAGTTAAAACGCAATCGAAATCGACAAAACAATTGTTTTAAATATATTTACTTTATTTGCAGCAATGGCCATCATTTAAGGTAAATAGTCGAGAAAAAAAAAAATTTTATTAGATTATCAAGAAGATTTATAAAAAAATATTTTTAAAAACTAAACTATAAAACAATATATATATATAGATATAATCGGTAAAACATAAATTTATTTCTAATTTTTTTTTAATATTGTATTTTTTTATTGCTTTTTTTTAATAACATTACTTTTTTTTTTTTTATAAAAAAAATTTAACATTTAACTGCTACTAAATTTAACTATACAAAAAAAAAAAAAAAAACAAATATAAGAATAATTACAATTCAGTTATATTATATTCTCAGGATTTCATAAGGTAAGTAAGTATTTAAATATTATTATTTATTCATTAAAAAAAAAAAAAATTTTTAATTAAATTTCCTCCATTTTTGTTACTCGATTTCTAAAACATTTTTTTTTATTTTATCCATTAGTTAAAATTTAAACAAAAAAAAAAAAAAATTAACATTAACAATACTAATTATAATTGTTTAAAAAAAAAATGTGTAAATTAATATACTGATCGATTCTGACAAAGTATTCATTTTAAATGCGACAACATTTAAATTTAAACATTTTTTTTTTTAATCAAATCCATAAACTACTAATAAGGAAAGAAAAATATTTTCATATAAAATCTAACATTAACTTTATTTTGACACATTTTGAAAATTATAAAAATATTCTACTCATTAATATTATTATTTATTATAAATTATAATACAGTAAAAAAAAATGCAGATTAATTTTATTTATGGCTTTTTATTAACACTTATCTGTGTTTTTTTTTTTTAAATTTAATTTAAAAAAAACAAACGCTACTTGTTTTCATCATTTTTTAATTACATTATTCACGTTCATAAAAAGTAAATTTATAAAAAAAAAAAAAAATTTTTTTTCTACTTTATATATATATAATTTCCACGTTTCCACTCGATAAAGCTTAAAAATAATTACTATTTTATAAAAAATACCCAAGTTTTTTTTTTTTTTATAGAGGCTAAAAAAGACGGTAAAAGAAAAAAAAAAAAATTATTTACAGGGTTTATTATAAAAAATAATTAATTATTTTACTGTTAAAAACTATTATTATTATTATTATTTTTTCAAAACCTTTTGCATCTTTGCTCTTTTTTTTCTGACTAATAATGACTCCATTAGGCAAGATATATATATATGATAGTTGAAATAGTAATATTATTATTATTATTATTATGAGCTTTAACAACTGAGCAAAGCTATGTTTATCTCCTTGACCATTTTTACACGATGCAACATCTTCATGAGAGGTTCTTTACCGAGAGCCATTGTTGAATACCATACGGGACTGTCGGGAACGCATGATCTTTCCGGTAGGAGGTAAAATACATCGTTTCTTGTTTTTACGCTCTCGGGACTAGGATAGAAAACAATTTAAAATTTAAATTAAACGTATCAGGAAACAATAGGAGGTTTAAAACAAAAAAAAAATTCTCACCATTTTGACAAATAAAATTCGTAAAGCTTGACCGGACATCTAAGAGGATTTTCTTCGTTTTCCTGTTGCTCGTACACTTTTTTCTTTCTGGAATTAGCTTCTGTCAATGAAATCAATAATTTAAAGTCATTAGAATTTTTTAAATGTTAATAACAAATAACGATGCATGTTAATCGAAATTTGGTAAAATAAATAAATAAATACCCAAAGCTGATTGAGGGGGATAAAATCTTAAAAGGACGTTTCGCGATCCTGGAACTTTAGCCACTCCCGACGTATTAGGATTCCTTTTCCAATGTTTCATTATATGCGAAAATGATAATTGCATGTGTTCTTCGACGGTCTGTGAACAAAAAAAAAAAAAACAATTTTTTTTTTAATTTTTTTTCTTTTGACATTTTTCGGTGCGTTTCGATTTGATGAGAATGAAAAAATTACCACTAAATTAAAATGTTTCGTATTGAAGAACATTAAAGTGCTGAGAAGAACGTGAGGCGAATGAGCACCCAATTGTTTACTCTCCCACAAATGTTCTTCTTCCACTCTGGTGACAATGTACTCTGTAAAAATTGACGTTATGTTTAGTGACAAACACTTGAAAATTTTTTATTTATTTCAATATTTGTAAAAAAAATAAAAATCTACTTACGAGAGTCATTGTACAAAGCTGCAAATTTTTTAGCCACTTCATCCAGGCAATCTGTAAATTTTTCATAATAAGAATCTGTGAAAATATTATCTATTCTCCCATTTTCGAAAAGGTACTGTTGAATTCCCAAACACAGGTAATAAATGGTATCCGGAGCATATTCCGTCCCATTCGGTTTTCTAACTTCCTTGACGAAAAGACAGAGGGAAAAATTTAATTCGTCTGCTGTCAATTGCAATAATTCCGGTTTGAAAAGCTTTATTTTTCTATTTGTTAATGCCGCCTTTTCCAATTCGGCATTTTTTTGCAAAACCCAATGCCTCCAAGCGTTTACTCCGAATGTATACTAAAAAAAAAATATATTTAATTATTAGTTTATGTTTTTCCTTTCTTATCATTTTAAATTTTATTTTACATAAAATTGTATTGTTGTGCTTTTTTTTTTTGTAATTAATCGATTAACACAAAAATTTCTTTTTTTTTAGGTCAGTCACCTTAAGACATAAATTAGCATCAGGTTTTTCAACTTCGATTCGTGGCGGTGGGACAGGTTCAGGAGCAGATATTAAAGGTACATCCACGGAGCCACTGGTCCGTCGACCTCTTTTACTAGGTGTTCCTGCAGAACTATTACGACTTCCTCGGCTAGAACGCTTTCGACCTCTGCTCATGGCCATAACGTTTACCTGATCTGCATTTTTAAAAATAAGTAAAATTAGTAAATATTTTTTTATAATTTCTTTGGTACTAAACTTTAAAAAAATTAATGATAAAAAAATGTTTAAAGAAAAATGTGAAATTTATTAAGGTTTGAAGAGTTATAATACTGACCGTACAATGATTTATTTGCATCGACAGGAGGTTGCGAACTAGTCGTGATAGTGTTCGATGTCAGAACTGATTCCATATCTACCGGAGGCTCCTCTAGTTCTGAAGCCATTTTCAAGGCCATTTGTAACATATCGTCCCCGAAAGTATTATTGGTATCCACGTTTTCAGGACTAAATGTACCTTCTGCATTTTCGTCTCCGTCATTTCCTTCATCGCTTTCTGAATCGGTAGGATCTTGTTTTTTATCTTCGGCCACCATTTCTGCCATTATTAATAATTCCGCTTCAAATGGATCGGTAGGAATTTTTTCTTGAATTTTTTTAATTTCTTTCAATATCCCTTTTGCCGAATTCCTCGTGGTTGGAATGAATATGGGAACGGGTATTGGTAGTGGAAATGGAACGGGAACAGGAAAAGGAGTTGAAAACATAAACATTGGAGCTGGCACGTATATAGGTACGGGAATCGGTATTAGAAACTTTCGGTTTAAACTTTGGTCTGTTTGTGTTTCTTTCATACAGGGATGAGGACGACAAGAAATACCTTTTGTGTGGCCAAAAGGTTTGCATAAAATAGCTTTGTTTTTCATTTCCTTCGTAGGAGCAGGTTTTGTAATTATTTGTTGGTAAATTTGAGACGATGAAGACTTTGTTGTACTTAAATTATGACTCGTGGTCGGCTGAGAAATTGCACTGGTTTCAGAAGACAAATCAACTTCTGTTGTCTATAAATAAAAAAATCATTATGAAAAATGAAACTAAAAATTTCGATTATTGTTATCATTTCTATTAATTGAGAAAAAATGAAAACCTAACTATTAATAAGTTATAAAAAGAACTTACTGACGTGGGAAAAATCTTTGTAGAACTATTGGAATCTGTTGATGCCAAGGATTGCACGGCTGAAATAACGGGAAAAGGAGATTCAATTTGAGGTGGTCGCGAAAGAATTCGTTTTAGATTTCCGTTTGAGACTAAAGAGCTAACGTCTTCAATTTCAGAATTTCCCGAGGCTGCTGATTGGGAATTTTTGCTCTATAAGAAATTTATATGAACTAATAATATTTACACATTAAACTTCCAACAACAACAAAAAAATGCCTTTTCTGAATTTAAATTTTTTTAAAATTTGTCATCTCGAAAACATTTTATGAAAACTTTGATACTGACCTGATATGCCAAGACACAATTGTAGGAACAAAATTTTCGAATAATGCCTTCAGGCATAGTCAGATGAAATTGTGCCGGACTGAAATTCATGCATAAATCGCAATTGACGTGCCTTGAACAGGATGCATTTATTGCTAATTTATGCAAAGTAAGGCAGTTAAGAGAACACATCATCAGTGTTAAACCTAAAGAATCAACCTTTCTGATCATATCAAAATCATACTTTTTAACTTTGCACCAGCTGCATGGTACTATTTTTCTGTTGGCCAGTATGTAGACGTTCATGCAGATTTTAGAACAAAACGATAGTGGATTTTCACTATAAAACACCCTAAATTTTTCATGCTTTGCTTGATCGAAATATTTTTTACACAAATCACACTGACCTAAAAATTTAATTTTTTTTGTATATTAACAATCTGTTGAACCAATATTAAAAATACATATGAATACACTTTTACCTTCTATTACATTATTGACAAATTTAAAAGCAGCAAAACAAGGTTCACTGCACAGTTTGTTATTTTTACCATCTAATTCTACCTCTATCTTAACAGGTTTTTTGTTGCTGCACACTGCACATAGTTCTGCAACATCCAAATGAGATGAATTCCCACTCATTTTCTCATATTTCTCCATACAAATTTGAGAGCAGAAATCTTTGAATAGGCCTTTATCACCGATAGGAGCCAAAAATCCTTCCAATCCATTTGAAATATCTTTTTGACAATAACTACAAACTTTCAAGCCCTTTTTATATTCTTCCAAACAAGATGAAGAGCAAAACTGTTTAATGTCATGACCGAATCTAACACAATATTTTCCTAAACTATTGGAAATTACATTTTCTTTACAATTTGCACAATTGGAACCTAATTTAATTTGATATTTTTCCAGACATTCTTCTTTACAAAAATCCATGGTTTCCCAAAATAAACATTTCTCATTCATTATTTTTTTTAAACATTGGGCACATTTTCTAACATATTGTCTACTATTGTCCTCTCTCCCGGAAACACACTGATTAGTTTGACAACTTCTAGAAAAAGCTTCAGAGCATACTTCAGAGCATAAATAATGATTTATTCCTTCGTGAACCATTAAAAACTTCCAACATTTTACCTAAATATTAACAATATAAAGTAGGATCAGTTAATAGATTTTAAAACTTGTTTTTCTCTTAAATTTAAAATAAGTTATTTACCTCATTACATTGAGCACACATCTTGAGAGATTCTTCAGCTGGTGCATGATCCTCTTCTTCTCCTTTTACCTTATTATTACAATCTTCAGAATTAAAATCATTTAAAACCAAAGATTTTATTTTATTTCCCGCCAATTTAGCTGCATTTCTAGTAGGTCTAGGTTTCGAATTCTCATTACTATCAGATGCCTTCTTTTCAAATTTTGTTTTTATTTCTTCATTATTAAGAACTGAAATATGACTTTTAACATTATTTTTACTTCCATTTTCATTATCATCAGATGCAGATAATTTATTTTGAGAAAAATCAGAGGATGATTTAGATGTAAAATTATCAGGTATGATGCAAATGTTTTCATCAATTTCAATTTTTGTACTATTATTCACCAATTTGTTTATATTTTCCACTGTGCTTTCATCTTCAGAATTTTCTTGATATACTTCTTCGACCATTACATCTTCTATTGGATCAAAATTAACTTGTATTTCTTGACTTTTATTTTTAGCATTTTCCCTGCTTTCTAAAATATCGCATAAAAATTCTTCATTAGTAGATTCATCTACAGAACACCTCTCTTTTAAATCAATTTCAATCCTATTAATATCTTTTTCTCTTGATAAATCCCCTTCATTCAAATCTACAAGTTCAATATCATTACAATTGACAATTTCAGGGTCTATAACATCATTTCCTTCATGATCTTTTTTATTATTAATTCCATCTTCTTTTTCACATCTTATTTCACCTTCCACATTGTTAGAATTAAAATTTTGTAAAATACTTTCTTCTTCTTGTATATCTTCTGATAACTTTGTACTGCTGTTACTATTTTTTGTACAATCATTATTTTCTGCATGTACTACAGGTGATAATTGAACAGTAACAGTAGAGTTGTTTAAGTCTTTTGTTTCCTCTGAGTCTATATTTGTAGAAATTTCTTGCCTATCACTTTGTAAACACAAATTTTCACTTGAAGCATTTGACTTAGTTAAAGAATTTACCTCATTTTCATTTATCCCAGTTAGGTCTAATTCTAAATTTTTGCAAGATGTTCCCTTATCATTTTCTAAGTTATCAATACTTTGATTTTCTTCTGGTTTAAAATCCAAAGATTTATTTTTTTCATTTCTTATTTCAATGGTTTGCTCTCCTAAATCATCATTTTCTAGGCTCTGTTTTTCGTTTTCCAAATTACCTGATATTTTAAAACTATTAGCTTCAAGATTGACAGAATCATTATTTTGGTTTTCACATATATTTAAATTTTCACAAATTTCCTTTGATTTATCATTTTCAGTTAAATTTTCCTGTGCTATTATTTCACTACTTTTTTCAAAACTGGAATCACCTTTATTTTGAACTGCTGTATCACTCTCAAAATTTAATTTTTCACAAGTTTTACTACTATTTTCAGTTATTTGAACATTAGAATTTTCTGCTTCCATGTCTTTAGTAACTAGTGTTGTAATTTCATTATCATGAATATTTAATAATAATTCATTTTTATTTTTTTCACTTTCAGTTTCAGAACATTGTAAATTATCACTGTCACATTCGCTATTAAAATCTTTTTTTGGTAAATTATCAACGGCCCCATTGTAATTAAGAATATTTTGTTGTAATTCAGTTGATAAAGTTAATGAGCTCTCTGTTTCTTTATTAAAATTAACATTTTCAGGTTTATTTTCAGTCGAATTTTCCGGCGGTATTTCCTCTTGCCTTGTTTGCAACTTTTCATTATCAACATTTACCAAATCCTGATCACTTTTTTTATCCATTTTTATGCGTCCATTTAATTACTGTTAAGAGTAACTTTTGCAGCATACTAGAGTATTACAATTTGAAAAAATTGCTTTGAAATCGATTCTTTAACCTGTGAAAAACATTTTTGGTAACTTTCTCAGTTCCTAACGACATGATTCTTAAGTTCTAGTATAAAATTATGTTCTACCCTTACGCCTTAATAAAGCTGACCACAGTAAATGCTATAACTTAAATAGTAACTCTATGATATAATAAAATAAAACTTGGCGCAAAAGAATAATTCATTGACGTATAAATTTTTGGTGTATGATTTTAACAATAGTATTTTTTCCATAATAACCTAATGCGCATTCTTAAAATTTAAATAAATAAAACAGAATTTTAACAAAAGTTTATAATCAAATATTGCTTAGTGATTGCTAACTGCATAGAATATATATTGGTAGTAAAGCCGGGAAAGTAGTAGCGCTTTTTTTATTTGAGACATTTTTGGTTTTTTTTTATTTATTTAAATTTTGACTGAAATTTATTTATTTTTTTTTTATAATTTGTCACTTTGATTTTGTTTTTAAATAAAATTAAAACTTTAAATCCATATAATTAAAAATATCGAAAGTAAAATTTGTTAAATTAAAGCACTACCTTCCTTTTAATTTTTAATTATACACAGTTGGTCACATTGTTGATGGTGTACATTTAAGTTCAATTGTCACAATTTTATGAAATTGCTTGTGTACTTATGCAAAAATAATTTTGTAAAAAATGGTTGACACTATGGATTTTGTGACTCCCGGTTTTGTTAGTCTTATCATTACCACATCTGGGGATGAGTACAATTGTACAACAGAGAGACGTTTTCCTATTTCTGTTACCATTGCTGAATTAAAAGTAAGTTGTTAATAAAGACGCAAGTATTATATTTAATTAATAAAGAAAAAAATATTACCCACGATGTTTTAAGATTTTTAATTATTATTCTCCGACTATAGGTAATTGTACAAATTAAATTGTTAATAACTTATTTTTCATTTAAAAATTAGGGGAAAATGGAACTTCAAACGGGAGGAAATGCTGCTACAATGTCTCTCGAATTATATGATAAAGAAGACACATTAATAGCAAAACTTGACAATGACAGTGCTTCTTTAGGATCGTATGCCGTAAACAATGGTATGCGCCTTCACGTAAGTTTATTTCGTTTCATTTTCTGACATAGTTTTAAGATACAACAATTTAAAAACAATTAACTATTATCTATAATTGCTACCATGACTTTGTTGAAATTAATTTATATGTTAAAATTTTTTAGGTCATTGATAAATTTGCTTTAAAAAAAACTTTTGAAGACTTATCGAAAGTAGAAAAATTTCATTTGCCCAAAGAGGAATATGATAAAAGAACAGATAGTGTAAGATCATTTTTACAAAAAAATAAGTTGGGTAAATATAATGAAACAGAAATGGCTGCTAAGCTGGAAGCTCGGAAAAAAGAAATAGAAAATGAAATTGAAGAAGCAAAAAAATATAATGTAGGTGATAGATGTGAAGTTAGTGTTCCTGGTCAGCCTGTTAGACGAGGCACAATTAAATACATTGGTGAAATTGAAGAAAAAATTGGCATGTGGTTGGGTATTCAGTATGATGAACCTTTAGGAAAACACAATGGAACGTAAGTTTAATTTAAATGTTTTATTCTCAAAATTAAATTTTATTAAAAATACTATGATTCAGTTTTTTAAATTTTAGGGTCGATGGAAAAACTTACTTTGAGTGTCCACCCAACTATGGTGCATTTGTGAAATCTATGTATGTTAAAGCAGGAGATTATCCAGAAATTAATCCCTTTGACGATGAATTGTAATATATCATTTTAAATAAACTGCTGTTCAGCATTCCAAATTAAAATAATTTACAAATGTTTAACATAATATTTTTTTATTTAGTTTAATAAATAAGCACTTTTAAAAAACTAACTTCTTATCAAAATTTTATTAATACATTTTATTTTGTTATATTTTTTTTACTGTATTATTTATTAATATTTAAATATTGTAGAAATACTAAATTT